TTTTTTTTTTTTTTTTTTTGCATTGACTGACCATTTGCGAATGACGTTGTTCAAATAGGAATTTAATTTTATTAATGTTTATTTTGATATTTGGCTTATTTTCTATTTTGTGACATTTTCTAAACTGGTTGACTTATTTTTTTGTATCAAATTAATGCTATGTTTTATACAAGTCTTGTAATACATTAGTTCTTAACAGTTAAATGATGAGTGAGGTTTTACTGCTACATTAACTTTTTTCGTGGCCAAAAATTTGTTATTTTTGCCATAAATGGATGTACAAATTTATTTTGAGGAGTGTTACTTGTTTTGTAATTAGTCGGTTGTATGTATATCACACTGCATTTACGGAGCACATTTTTTGAACTCTTGTTATTATCATTATCTTGATCAAAACTTGTTGTAGTTGTAAGAATGTTGATTTTTCTGCCTTATTATTTGTGACCATGACCACTCATCTAGCCATCAAGTTCTATGCACTCATCAACATCTTTTAATGTCGAGTAGCTTACAGTTGTGCTCTGCTTAATAAAACTTTGTTACCGCTAACAGTTGTCGTTTAACAACTTGATTAGAGGCCAGAAATAGTTGTTATTAAGAACCACATTAGTTCACCTGCTTTTCAATTAGAGCTTCTAATAGTATTTCTCAGAAGGAAGTGACGTAGGAAAGTTGAAATATTTGTTCTGTTAAAGTGAGCTGTAAAAATATGTTTTGCAGGAATTAACAGTAATTCAGAAGCTTCAGTACAAACTGTGATTAACTGGAAGAATTTTAAATCACTGTTGTGTATTTGAGGTGTTTACTGGTTGTTTTTGACGACGGATTTGGCTGTGATTTTTACTAAGAAAGAAGGTGATTTTATCTTGCTTCTAAATACGATTTATGAAGGGTCATCACTTTATGTGATTCAATTATATAACTCTGTTAAAAATGGTTTACTAAACTATTTTGCAACTTTGAATGGAAGATGACCTTCGTGTAACGTATAGAAATGCAATTACTTTTTGTTCTGTCAAGCGCCTCTCCTGTGTCGTATATTTCTCAAGCATCGTTTCTCAGTGATTTTTCAAAATAATCTGTCATATCAGATCTCTGCGGAAACGTTTGTTTATAATTATGCTGTGACAATTTCCAAACCACATCTAGGGAACGCCAAACAGAG